AGAGAGAGAGAGAGAGAGAGAGAGAGAGAGAGAGAGAGAGAGAGAGAGAGAGAGAGAGCTAAGGACCCCTTTCACACACATCAGAGGGCCCCTGCGGGTGATCTTCTGGTCCTCGCAGCAAATTAGCGTAGACCCTCCACCAAATCGAGGCAGGTGTTGAGTATGAAGTGGAGCAGGATTGGCCGAATATATACTCTGGATTCGAATTCAGGTCTGTGTTTCAGCAGGTATGGGTTGCCCACTTAGCTAGGCCCTGTTGGTCTCTGCACGTGATTCTCAGGGCTTGGCTGCGCTACTCACCAAATGTGCAAAATTAGAATTAATCTTCTGCTAGAACATGGAACCATAGTGACCCATAACCGCTGATACCCAGACATGAATTCGAATCCAGACTATATATATTCTTGGCCCACTCATGCAGAACTGGAAGCCTATTGCTTATCTGTGCTTCGTGATGGGTCCTTGCTGATTCGCTGTAGGGGCCCTTCGGAAAAGGGACTGGACAGAATTAGGACATGCACACCCACACGCACGCACATGGACACACAGTTTTGGGGTATGACGTGGCCCAAACTTTTTTTGCTCTTGCAGTTTGATTTTTAGAAGCGAGGGGTACGTTTGGCCACCCCGCCCTGACCTTTCGGGTTTTTCTTTTTGTTTTTGAAAGTGATGTGCTGAATCACGTGCGCATGTATGCTTGCACGCTCCCTATGTGCCGCACGTAATGCGCGACAACGTTGGTTCTTATTGAATGGATATAAACCACACACGTTTGCTGGTTGAGAGAGTTCGTCAGCAACATTGTGGGGTTGCACATTGTGCTAATAGTACAGTCGTTGGTAAGGGGCATGTCCCATTGGTAATGTCTCAGTCCTTGCATGGAAATCTGACAACCTGTGTGTTGACCTGAAAGAACAGGGGACCAGATAGACCATGACATAGTTTGGCGGAGCAGACCGACGCTTCTCCTTGCAGATTTTAGACACAGGAAGTGGTCTTGATGAATTCTGTCCATGAGAAAGCATGAAATCAGCGGACGTATCCAATGGTGTACTGATGCCCCTTCCCAACAACTCTGCTAATGTCTGATACCAAGGTCGGAAAGGTAGGGTTGCCTGCATGTACAGAGGACTGCCTGGTCAGCAGAGCACGGAGGGGAACAACTGCAAGGAATTTTTACTGAGAAGCGGGAAGTGTGTGGTCACCGAGAGGGAAGGCAGAGAGAACAACGAGTGGATGCGTGAAGAGTGTTGGCGGTATGTTGTATGCATTGGCATTGGGGCAGTCTTGAGGAGTGGCTTAACTGCTCTTCTCATCATAATGGAAGGGAACTAGGGGATTAATCCAGCCTTGTGGGGTTGGTGGGGGTGTGCTGTCAGCCCCGTAACACATCAGAAGAAGGGAGATTGGGGATTACCCCAGCCTTGTGGGTTAGTTGGTGGTGGTGTGCTTTCAGCCTCATAAGACGTCAGACTGCTGAGACCCCACAAGGAGCATCATTTGTTCTGGGTCCATTTCAGAGTTTGATGGATTGGAACTCTGTAGGACGTGAGGTCTTGAGAAGATGTTGTAAGCACAGCCAGCAGGACGCTCAACGGGCAAGGAATGCCCCCGCTCTGCCCTGGGTATGTCGTGGGAGTTTGATTATAGCACTGGCCGTCAGGGTAGGGCCTCCCTATACCTCAGCCTGCACAAAAGAAAAAGAGATGTTGAGCTTGGTACTTAACTTTGGTGCTGGATCAGCCCTCAGGATTGGCTACTCTCCTAACCTTGTTTTCAAGTTGGGGTATCTTGTACAATATGGAAGAACATCAAGGGAGTCATGTAGGATTATCCAAACGAAAAAAATGATAAGGGGTGTCGAATCCTCCCAAACAGGCCTTCACGCAAAAAGTGAAAAGCATTGGTAGTGCTAATTGTCCCTTGTCATGTGGAAGAAGCAATTACCGGGCAGTCAAATAACACGAGATGCATGCTAAGCGCCTGCTGCTGTGTGTGTGTCCTTTCTGTGGCAGGGTGACAATAAAGGTTTTTTGGTCTGCAAGAAGAAGATGGCCACCTCGCCAGAGGCTCTCTGCTGTTACTGCCCAGCACCTTTTAAGCAGTTTCTTGATGTGGTGGTAAACATGAAGTTTGACGAGGAGCCCAATTATGCGAAGCTCATTTCCATGTTCGATGTCATCATTGGGGCTAATCTCAGCGCCCGACCTATCAATACGGATGGAGCTGCACGGGTGCGCTCACAATCTTGTTGCCTCTTTTGCCTACCCTGTGGTGTATGGACCTTTGCACTGTACATTAACGTGTTTGCCAAATCTTTTGAAGTGAAGGGGTGCCACAGAGTATGGATGCTTACGATGATGCCACTGGGAGGCAACAGAAACCAACTGCATCTTTTTATGGCATTGATGCCGACAAAGCATTTTGTGAAGTAGTGTGTAAAGACGGCCTCCGATAGACATGTTGAGGTGGAAAATTCCTTGAAGAACGTGGTGGGGTGAAATGTTAATCCACAAAAAGAAGTCAGATGGATCTTAAATTGGCAACGTGAGGGTGGTAAATCAGGAATGCACGTTAAATCTGTATTCATGTATGGTGCCACTTGTGGCAGGTGGAGAATGTGGATGAGAATGATTTGCCTCTGTTGGTATGTGTTGGCTACCGTCTTCCCCGGAAGAGAACATACTGTCATCATTACTGCCATATCCGGACTGAAAGTTGCACCAAATACAGGCATAATCTCCGCACGTTTCATTCGTAGGAAGACGGTGGTGCAATGTTCAATGCAGGATTTGCAATGGGTTGCCTATCCTCTCTGCTGAAGCCTCTGTTCAAATATGAAGAGATCGCCAAGTGGAGATGGACTGGGGCAGCCCCTTCCTGGCATACTTAACACAGGAAGCAAAGCTTACACCTCATTAAGATTCCAGCTCACCTGGATACACCATTGAGGTAATGGATAAGGCACTCCCCTGTCTTGATCACGAATGGCCTTCTGAGATAGAGTTAGGTAGCATGCCCTTCTAGGTACGTTTGTGGAGTTCTCTGCATTTTTCTTGTTCTTAAATCATGACCACCTTCCTAAGAGTTGGGTCAACTCGTGTGGCCAGATCGTCATCCCAACCGACCAACTTAAAACTTCGGGGTTGCTGGTAACCAGCGAGATTGGTAAAGGTATGGTGGCTCAAACATCAGTACACCTGACCCTCTTTCTCTGAAGCTGCTCTTGTGGGCCATGCTGGAGAGGAGGAAAAGAAGCTTGGGGATGGTACTCTTGTCCCATCCATGAAACCAGCTGCACATTTTTATACTGACTGCCCTTTTGACAGTGATTGGACCTGCGTAGCCTTTGTAACGTGATGCTATCCGACTGGGCTGTGGAGCGCGGTGTTACGTAGAGGGACAAGAGAATGGTATTCAGTTGCACCCTGTGCCCTTCACTCGGTTGGCTTCCTTGGAGGCGAACCCTCGAAGGCCAACCCTCAGAGGCGAGCCCTCAAAGGCCCACCTTCGCAGGTGAACCCTTGGAGATGAACTTCGAGAAACTTTTGAGCAAGTGGTCCTTGCCTTTAAATCCAGACTTTCCCTCGTGGCTGAATGGTACTCTGGTAACTGTCTACAAGCAGGTGCAGTCTTTAAACACAGTTGGGTACAGAGTGGTAAGGGGCGGCCCGGTATAGGTGGCGATGGTTATCGTGGTAAAGCGCGTCGGCTCCAGGTTTAACCATAACCAATGACACCCATGCCAGCAATTGGATTGATGGATGGTACTGAGCTCCCTGAACCACCTTGGTCCCTGATTCTGTTGATTGCCAAACCCTAGAGTTGTTGAACAGTGACTGTTGAGGCACGAGTCTGATAGCAGACGTTGCTAGCTGCCGGGACTGCCTCCGGAAGCATCTGGCGGACACTGATAACCTTTTGCTAGTCCAAACAGCTGCTTTGTATACACCAGCATGATGGCCACAACCCGTTGGTGGCAGTGGTGGTTTAAGGGGCCTACGAGATTTGAGTGTGCAGGAATGGTTAGATGGGGTGGTAGATGGATGTCGGTCACAGGTGATTGTAACCGCTGTGGGTCCGTTGTGCTGTGTCAGGACTACGATGTGATAGCCTCAGTTTGATGACTTGTTTGATCTTAGCTATGGTAATCTCAGTGATGGGATTGAATTTTGATTAAGGGTAGACAGTGACGGGAGCAACTCGGTATGGGGGTTGATTCATTGGGGAGAGTTGAGATTTCTTGTCGTCTTGTTGTGATCATTGCTACAGTTTCTGTAATTGCTGTCGATATCAGTCTCCAACCATTTTTTATGTCTGTCGATATCAGTCTCCAACCATCTTTTATGTCCTGAGTTATGCGGGTGTTCCTTCCCCCCCTCGGTCAACCATGAAGCGGCAAGGAGGCCCATGCATCCTGGTTTGTTGTGAATCCAGCTTGACTTACATGGTATACTCTATGAGAGTGTGGCTTTCATAGTGCCTTAGTCAAGGAGGTTTCCCAGGCAGCCCTGCACTTGTCCCTGAAGTTGCCAGTTGAGCTGTTCTGCTATTGGTGGCCCACAGCAGTCGGTCTTTGGAACTCACTGCAATGGGATTGTTTTGCATGATGTCTCTCTCTCGGTGTTTGTTTTGGGGTTCCTTTAACATTTGGCGAGTTAATCAACCTCTGTTTTCTCCCTTGAACGTAGGTGCTGGGAACTCTGTGTAGTCCTGTCTTTGTTATGTGCGATGTTTGCCTTTCTGTGTATGGGTGGGGTGAAGCTGCTTAGCTCATCATCCGTTTTGTTTCTTTAGTCTGTTCTTCCTTCATGTACTCTGATCCAGTCTTCCACTGGGCGGTTGTGTCAGGAGAGAGACCTGCTTTTGTGCTCCTGCTCCTGCTACAGACTGCCTGTGGATGAGGGAATGGACATCTGGATCTCTGCGTCGTTGCGGGATGTGGCGATGCATTGTTTTGCTTGCTTGCTCTCTGAGTTATCCTCCGTTGTTCGCCGATGATTCCGATTTGGTTCCCAATGTTCATGATGGTGTCTTGCATTGGGACAGGTTAGCAGTGCGCGGTATGCTCGGGAGGTTGAATATCTTGCGATTGGGCTGAAGCCTGGAGTACCCTATGGTGCCCACGGTCAGGGTCTTCTTGGAGATCATGTACGCCCAGATTGCCTGATGCACACGGCCTCTACGTTCTGCATAATGTCCTATCCTATGGTGTGCAATGTTTGTTTCTCTCTCATTAAACAAGCAGAAAGAAGCAATTTTCTCGCAATGCCGAGGGGTTTCTCATGGGTGGCCAGCCAGGTCGGCCACATAGGTCACTTGCTGCACTCTAGCGAGGTAATTGGGACACCACGGATCATGCAGATCTCCAGGTGAGCTTTCTCTTGATGGTTTGACGAGGGCGCTTTGTGCACTAGCTTCCTGCAGCTGTTCGCTTGGGCTGTCCAGGGACACAGCACTGTGTGCAAGAACTTCCTGCCAGGCAAGACGGATTGAAGCTTGTAGGTAACGGGAGCTGTTAGAAAAGCGGAACATTAATTGTTACTTTGGGCATAGTCTGGCAGACTTGTTGACACCTCGACAGTTTTCAACGGGAAAAAGAGTTGTGTGACCACGTTGTTGGCAAACGGCGTCGTTGAATAATATATCCTCTTCGCTATTCACAAGAATAGTAGGAACCGGCAGCCTTTTTCTGTGTCCGCTGCTTGTACAAAGCAGGTACGATTTATTCCCCAACGTAGGTAGGTATGGTCTATTCCCTAAATTTCTATCTATTCGGAACTACGTGGAGCCTCAAGTGGTGTCTGTTGTTTGCTTTTCCACATAGCTAACCTATTGTGGCAGTTATGCAGATTCGTTTTGTGTCACATCGGCAGGTATGTCTGGACTCCATGAGATGAATCTCAAATCGGTACCGATCATATGGTGGTATTGTTTTTTGTCTGTGATTTAGCCCTGATTTGCTTGCAATTGCTGATTAACTATTTGCGGTATGTCATTTTGTGGTAGGACCACTGGGCTTCTTCTCATCGCTTGTACGATTCTTTGCTGTCCCTTTTCTTACATGTCCGAGGGCATAAACTGGTGTGGTGGCCAACGTCGTAGACAAGGCTCTCTGGACATCTGGACAAGTACATGGCATCTTAAACAAGGCAGCAAACATAGATGTATAATTTGCGTTGAAATGGATATCCCTGTTATGGGACAACATTTCATGGCTGCAAATGACCAGGTTATTGTGGCCGCATGAGGTACATAAGTATGAGGATTGAAGGCCATCCAAATTTGTCTAGCCTGGTTTGTTATAAGGGAGCTAATGTGTAATCCGTGAGAAAAAAACAAAACAACCAAAACGATGCAAGTTGATGCAACCCATCACTTCCGATGTAGCACTTGCCCACCTGGCCCTCGCAAGATGAGGGCATAAGACAGCGGAGAGGGGCACCTTGACGAAAAGGCACACTAAGCTGGTCTGTGGAGTACTATCGAATAACATGTGACAAGTTTTCAAGGTTGGATCTGCTGCCCTTTTCCTCGAAGTTTGGGATCTCTGCCAGTTTCTTTGTGTTGTCCTTGCGGGTTTTTCTTGTCGTTGCATGACCTCTTTTCCTCTTCGCATCCCTGCTAAACTTTTCCACACCCCATTTTTTAAGGAACATTGCGGTAGTTGTTCTATGTCTAAAAATGTTGGATGTTTCATTGACCAGAGTGAGGGGATTTGAATGCGAACCGGTTTGATGAACTTAAAACCAAGAGGAAACGGTTTGTAGTAGCGCCCTCGCTTTGTTTTATATCGCTCCTCTTGGGGTTTGGTAATGCGATCCGTGACTTTTCCCATTTGTTTTTCTCAACCCTTCCTGATACTGAGTCCTTTTTTTTTGTTATTCATTTGTTGTCGTCTGTCATCTGGGCGTGAAGATACTTGAACAACGCTATGGCTCCGTTCAAGTGGGGCAGAAGCGCGGCCGATTGCTACCGGGAGAGGAGGAAGAGGAAGAGGATCAGCCCAGGAAGAAGATTCGGCTTGGAATGCCTGCCACACAATGGATTACCATATACAACGCTCGCAAGCCAATGAAGCAAAGGTGAGCATAAAGGGATTCAACACTCGCCAGAGTGACCTCTCAAGTTTGCTAATTTTTGCCTTGCTGTAATCAAATAGTCGCATATGCATCAGAAGAATAACCCTAGTCTAGTCGGTCATATGGGCATCAACTTGCATTTTCGCTGAATTCAGCTGTGCAGGCCCCCGTTAAGTCCTTTGAGTTTCACCCTTGCAATCGTGCTTCCAAGGATGTTTAACCGCGTTAGCTATGCCCTTGATCGAATCGCCGCTGTTCGACGCTGTGGAAGGATGTTTGTTCGAATTAATGTGGACTTGGTAAGTCTGCGTGGAGTTACGGCCAGTATGGCTCCTGTGGAGTAGGATGTGCCTAGAGTGATAGCTGATTTACCGTGGTTGGTATGAAACTTCACAGGCCAGCATGTAGTGGTGCACAGGGCTGTATGTGGAATGAAATGGAAGAGGAAGGAGTCCGAAGGAGCCACCGCGGAGTTTTCTGAGTTCTTTTGCCACCCCCCCTGTAATGAACCCAGATCGTGAAGACACTTGTCAACAATGCAAGCCCAGAATATCAAACTGCTTATGATTACCAATAGTCAAAATTGTGTCTAGACAGAATGAGATGAGATAATCATACACAGATGAAGGAGAGAGGAGGGAGATTAGACAAAGGAGAGGAATAAAGTACAAGGCCCACTCCTGCTTTGGGCTCCCTCTTTGATCACCACCTCAAATAATCAATAGTCTGAACGCATATTCGAAGTCTTACTACAATGTGCCACGTGGCACGCCAATAAGTCCTCATCAGCGCACTGGAGCAATGTCGACCTCAAGATGATAAGGTACATATCCACAATTACCCCACAGTCATGATCTCCTCCTGAGTGACGATGAATCTGAACAGCAGAGCCGATCACATGGTCCCAGCCAAAAGACCACGTCACAGCAACCACGTCAGCAGCAATGTGTGGCAGCTGCCACGTCAGCCTGCCTTGAAGACAATAGCCAGCCAGCCACCATGCCGAGCCAGCCAGCATGAGCAGAGATGTCTCTTTGGCTTTGTCCAAGGGCCGATCGCTTGTTAGCCATGATGTTTTGTAACGAGGGCCTGCATTTATGGGCTTTGCTGCTGGCCTATTGAAAACTAGAGCACCTATTTTTCATTTTGCAGTATCGCTTTTAACAGGAGTGTAATGTGATGAAATGGGCATGGGAGCACGGTCCTATACCTGTCTCTTATACACATCTAGATGTGTATAAGAGACAGGTCCTAGGGGTAGCCCGGGCCTGCTATAGGCAGTTAGGGTAGTAGTAGGAAATTCAGTTTGTGTTAGGGCTATATTTCTCCAATTTGCAGATATGTCCCTCACGAATTTCCTCACGGTTAGGTCTCTCGGTTAGCCGTCAGCCAAACAAAATTACGAATCTAACCCTACCGGTTAGTGTACAGCCTCGCAGTCAATCTCGGCAGTCAAAATCAGCAAGTCATTGCATACCCAGCAACTTGTGTATATGCGCCCGAGGCAAAGCACCTGCTTGTGGGGAAAAGAATGGAGTCGAGGCAAATGAGAACGGATAGGAAGAAGGCCAGTAAGTATGAGAACATGATAAGATTCGAAAGAATCAAAATAATAAAACGAGAGGGAGAGTGGGAACATGCACAATTGAATAATGAAGCCGAGTCGTTTCTGAAGTGAAGCAGGATTAAAAGGAGTTCCAGGGCAACGAAACAAAGCCAGCAGTGTTCTGGTCTTTGTGCTGGAATAGACACCCACCCACACTTAACAGGCACGTACAGACCACAAGTGCAGATACAATCTCATGCAACACATTCTCTCACATAATATTTGACAAAGAAGAGCACTGACATGTGGAGCCAGAGGCTGGACATCCCGAACACAGCAAAAGTACATTTGCACCAACTACCCTGGCGCAGTTGGTGCGCCCGTGAAGTATTGAAATTGCAAGGAACACAACTGATATCAACGCCAGACCCCACTTGCAGCACACACAAAACTTGCAGAATGTACCGCTATGGCCGGGATCAACAGCAGGGGGCCTTCACCCTCTCTCCCTCTCTCTCACCCTCTCCTTGGTAGGCTCCCAATGTTTCAAGCGCTCAACCTCGTTTGCTCGATGTCTCTCTTACTCTGAGTACTTAGACCACTCCCTCTCACTTCCTGAAAACACTCATTTGCTGACTAACTTCGTCCCTCTCGACCTTGCAGCAATGGTTGCGTAGTCTTCCTTGTCAACCCTAACTATGGCGCCCAATTGACCTTCTCCTTCGTCAACGGAGTGTCCAGCCACTCAGTCGCACAAGCGCTACAGTATAGCTTCCACAACATTCAAACTGACAAGTGACCCAACGAAGCACTGTAGCATCTATAAATAGCAGCTGAAGTGAATCGGTGTCGGCTCCGGACTGGTACCGGTCAATGCGGCCTGTGGGCTGCAGTTTGCCAGTTCTGGAACTTACTGGACTTTCCCAGGATGCTGCTGCAATAGTGGACTTTGAGACTGCAGACTTTTTTTGTTGGGTAACCGGGCTGACGGCTTCTAACGACTTGAACAACTGGACCCTGTGGACCATAAAAAACCCTGGACCCTGCACCTAGGCCCTACCGGACTCTAAGAACCCTGGACTTACCGGACCAACTAGGACTGGGCCCAGGTGGGACTCTGGGACTGGGACTCGGGACAGGGACAATGTGTGAAATCCTTTCAACCTGGATACCTGAGTTCGAATTCCAATTGAACCAGATGGGCGAAAATAACTCCGGATTTACCTGGGGCCAGTCAGTTTGAAGATGGTATCTCACCCCGTCGCTCTTTAACCACTACCTCCGAGGCTCTCTTTGCTGAGGCCGAGAAGAACTGCACGGCAAACCTTTGGCCAAAGCGCCAGCACGACCTTTTTCATTTTGTTTTGGCTGGCGCCATCAGCCATTTTGGTCTGGTGGCGCTGGACTACACCGGCGTCCGAAGAATCCGGTATAGGTTATATTTACAACTTAGCTCTATGGCCCGAAAGTTAGCGGTCATTTAAAGAAAAAAAGTGTCTGTGGGGCGTCAACATCTTTGACGTACATGCTTTCCCTGAATCCCGCAGGAGTGCACAGGGGTTACGGGGTGGTGCAGCAAGAGCCTGGAGGAGGCTGGCTGCAGCCACGTAGACAGACTGACCTGCACCCTTTGGTGAAAATCGCAATCGCAAGAGCCTGTTGCAAAACAAAACAATTAATTTGGGAGAAGACATTGATAACGAATCACTTGCCGAAGGTGCATAAGCAAAGGTTCACAACTGGATGTGCTGTGAGGATTGCTATCTTACACATACTTTCACCTTTGCCTGCCTCACCAACAGAGTTCCATGGGCTGTATGACAGGAACCCTGATTGCTGTCCATATTCTTTACAGTTCTGTAGGGCGCCAGGAATTCCTCAGAGACTGGAGATCACTTCCGATAACCCTCATCAAGCCAAGTGGAATCCCTGTCACCATGTCTTGGGGAATAGCAATATCATCAAATTTGAAATTTCCTTGGAGCCTATTTCCTTGTCCCAGAGAGTCTGATCTGATACCTATTGGACATGTCAGATAAGGCCTTGTAGAAAGAACCTATACTGGGCCCCTGAACTGTTGAAATACAGGCCCAGTTCGAACTCCACTTCAAGCAGATGAAGTAGATGAGTGTAATGTTGCAGATTTGAATTACGTTGGGCCGGTCAGTTCAAATAATGTTATCTCAAGGTCATTTAAAAGAGACGGATAAAAAAGTTTGCTAGCCCTGAAATTGACCTGGGACTGCAGTTCCAGATAAAACAGGACGGAGTAGTTGGAATGCCTGAGTTGCCCAAGTGTCATTTCTGTGTCTCAGAACCTGGGTGCATTTCAAAATCAACGATCTCAATTTTCCATGGGCCCCCTTTTCCAACGGAGTCCCAATGATTAGGCCCGTTAGCTGGCCTGAGCATGTTCAATGCTGCATCCGACCTCGTAAAGCAGAAAAACTTTGTATTTGTTTTTTTGGGCGGTGCCTGAGACAAATTAAGGGGGTGGTTCAGCCCTTGAACTGGTCCAGGCAAAATTCACTGCTGTATGCGCCATGGAATGCCACAGCTGAATGCCGACTGACACTACCAATTCTGTTTCGGTGCCTCTGGAAAAGGGCCCATGGGGCAAGTAGGCTCTCCTTTGCGAGAGAGAGAGAGAGAGATCGTCACAGTAACTGACCCCAAGAACCGACATGACAGTGGTGACCTCCAGCAGTGACTATGGAGTACCTCACCGCCTGGAGAGAAGCAATTCCCGGTCCCTCCTTATATAGCTCTCCTTATTTGCGATTCCTCTCCTTGGGCTCCCAGGTGGGAGTCCCTGCTGTACTGCCTTTCCTGCTCCCCAATCTTGATCTACGAAGGCTGGTACCTCGTACCTCTAACCTCTCCTTCAGCTGCTGGCCACAATCCTAGAGAATAGTGATGCTCAAATGATGGTACCATTGTGTCATGGGAACCCATCAACCTCGTGCAAGTAGAACTTCAGGTATGAGCCTTCAGCTACTGACAGAAGTGAGACCAGACAGGACAAACCTCCGAACTTGCAGGCAAACACACCTGGAAAACACACTGAACCATCTGCGAAATGAAAAAAATCTGAAGACTTGGCTCGGATTAAAAGGGGCTAAATCCACAATGATGGGCACAATCGAGTGGAAGGGGAAAATAAGATGCCCATGTGCTACTAAGATACGCAGGTGCTAGCCTAAGGTGTACCCTTTGGACATTGGAGAGGTCCTATAATTAAAACCAACCCTACACCACTACCTGACAACTTGCTACGTAACCAACTGACAGCCCTGGTCCCTTCCTGTGAAATGTGTCAAGGCACCCCCTGAGGCATGTAACAGCTTGTGCTGTGAGGACAAATGATGCAAGCCACATCCTTGCATTTGAACCTGTTGCCTCTTCGCATTACAGTCAATCACCCTTCGTCTGCCTGTGGACTTGTGAATTTGAGATTGTGTCCTATTCTCGACTTGTGTGTAAACTTTGTTGCTCTCAGACTTGTTTTTTTCTTTTTTCTTTTTCTAAGTTTGTTTCCTCTATCCTTTTGTGTCAATTGTGAATGATGCACGAGGATTTTTTATCCTCTGTGCTGTATTGCCTATCATGATGTCAGCAGTGTGCATTAGCCAGAGATGCTGTTGCTGTCTTGATCTGTGCCCTGTCTGTTATCGATCCTGTTATTCGATGCTTACAGTCTGCTGGCTGATGTGGTTAGATCGTGCAGATGGTGGTGGCTGTGGGTGTACAGAGGATTGAACTCTTGCTGTTTTGTCGTCAAGTTGTCTTTGCGGAATAACTTGGTGATATGCTGTAAGCGGTGGAAGGCAGGAATCAGAAAACAAATTCCACTTTTCTGTGTGCGTGCAGGTGCTGATGCATGCTGTCCCTCTCTGCATGGATCGCCCTTTGGATCATAAAGAAAGCTCTCAGGTCCCTGCTAGTGGACCAGTGCTGTGAAAGTGGCTGGGGAGGCTGTACCTGTGCATGGTCCCTGCTAGTGGACTTCAGTGTTGTGAAAAGGTGGCGAGAATACTGGATTGGCGGGGCATATGTTCCTCTGGCTAAAGAAAGCTCTCAGGTCCCTTCCACTGCCTCAATTTATCGACTGCACCCTCCTCACGACAGTGGATATGCTCTGTGCTGGTTCACGACAGTGGCTATGCTCCATGGTGGCCCTCTATAGCCTTTGTGGGTAGCAGGCCAATGTGTGCGATGCGCAACTCTGTGGATGACCTAGCAGACCGCTACATCTTGCGAGACCGGGGACCTTGCCCATCTGGACCGGTGTGAGGAACATGGAGCAGCCGATACATTGACACACTGGAGGGGACCTGAGCTTTGCGTGAGCAAGAGAAAATAACTGAGAAGCTTGCAGACCCAGGCTGGGCCGTTTCTACCCTCAGCCGATCGTTATCCATTAGTCTTAAGTGAAGTCGCGAAGGTGGGCTGCATATGAAGCTAGACCCTAGAGACTTTGCAGCACCTCAAGGCAGCTATTTCAGGAGTGAAAACGAGGCAATAGCATTGGTATCTTTGGCATGCGTCGGTATCTTTAGCATGCCTATGGGGTCGGGTATCTTTAGCACGCCTATGGGGTCCGGTATCTGTAGCATACCTGTGGGGTCCGGTATCTTTAGCATGCCTATTGGAATCCATAGTAATCTTCTTGCAGTTGATACTCTTGCATAACATCAAATCTCATTTCAGAGAACTGGCTTCCCAGATTTGACCGTGTTTTTTTGTTGCTGACTGCAAATGGAAATTCTCTTTCTGTGTGCTGTCCTTGTGTGTCCCCCTTTCCCATCTGTTGTTGTTTTCCTTGTGATATGCTCGGTTGGCTGGTCTCGTGATGCAGCCACAAGATGGAGGGAGCCTTCAAGCCTTGTACATGTGGAGTATGATCAGCGGCCTGATGTATTCAGGTTTGTCCCTGACAAGAGTGCGCATTGATTCATATTAAACAAAAAAGAATTTAGTCTTTTCCCCCTCCAAACCTTTATGAACTAGCTCAATTGGTATGCATACTTGGTGCCGTTCAGGAGGTTGTGGGGTCAATCCTCATAGCCGGCTGGGGTACCGCCTGGTGCCAACCAGCTGAGATAGGCAGCTGGATCCTCCCGGTTGGTATTAGTAGGGTGTTCATCCAACATGGGTGTGAGGGCCGCATGTGTAAGTGGGTTGTGCGTGGTGTGTGGGAGAGTATTGGTCCTAGACTGTTGTTACTCGATGGGGGAGGGAAGGGGAACATAAAAAGGGAGGCGCAGCTACTGGCAAATGCTTGGTGCTCGAGTAAGCTGGGCCCCTACCAGTGGCCCCAACTTTGCACCCTAAACCGCTACAGTCTTCCCCCGAAAAAAACACATGTATGTACTATTCAACTTTCCCTGGAAAACTCGATTTTTCGAAGTAGCTCCTGGAAATCTGAATAGTACGCACGTTCAAATAGTACACACCTGTGTGCTATTCGAATAGTACACATCTCTCTCTCTCTCTCTCTCTCTCTCTCTCTCTCTCTCTCTCTCTCTCTCTCTCTCTCTCTCTCTCTCACCTCCACGGAGTCTTCCCGCATGTGGCTGCAATCGCCGCAGAAAGCGTGATTACCGTGCTCTCCAAGGAACGAAGACACAGCTTGAAGTAGTGCGGCCCGAAAACGGGATCACCACGTGCTCCAAGAAACGACAGGCCGAACTGCTCCTCTCTCTCTCTGTCTGTGGATTCCCTATTGCCGTCTGACGTGGAGGCCTTCTTGTCTACGTACAGTCTCGCTCCACCCCTCTACACGTGAAGGATGTATACTTCCATTGTCCAGAGGAAGATTCATTCTGGAGACTTTTTTTTTTTTTTTGTTTTGTAATGAGGACCATTTCTCAATTTATGTGTCGTTCGAACTGTGACGGATGCCCCAAAAGACGGGCCCGTGGCTACAAGGGCGTATACGGGATTAATTTTGGGAGCCCGTTTCTGAAGTTGGTGCCCAAAACCCTTAGCATAAAGCACGTGCGTTGTATATGAATTCAACACACGTCGTGCGTTGTATTCATATACAACACACATGCATTTTGTTTGGGGGAAGACTGTGGGGCAAGGGGCAAACATGCAATTACCTCTCCCTTCGTCGAGTGAGGTACGTTGCTATGCTTGCAGGGGTTCCCTGTATAGCCTTAGGAGTAGTGTTCCTGTTTGGATAACAGTCACCGTGCAAGCCATTTGCAGCTCTGGCTGAAATTGGGAAAAAAAAGGGGTGTTCTTAGCACCAAATAGCACGGTTTGCAATATTTTTGAGCTTCAAGATCATTAAAAAATTGTGGTGGAAACTTTCGAGAAGGGATTCACAACCCTGAAATTTTGCATTCGTCAACTGCGCTAGGTGAGGGCACTAAGGAAGCCATTAAAAATGATGAAGGGGAAAGGGTAGACCACAAGGGGCAAGGGAAGGGAAAGGAAGAGAACAAGCTCAGGCCATAACCATCAAACAGGTGAGCTGCCAATGCTTTATAGGATTGATCAGGACATAGAGGATTCGGAGCTCGCTTCAGCAGGATGGGGATGGCATATTGTATTGAAAAATGGGGGAACCCGCAGCGATCAATAGAGGGTATCATCCTACTTTGTTCAATGCATAAAGATGGCTTAAGCACGTGCAAATTTTGTTGGAAGTTCTGAACATCTGTCTTTGAGATATAATACTTCCATCCAATATCAGAAGGTTGGAGGATTGCAGTGGCTCTTGTGCGATCATGCTGTGAGAGTAGATGAATGGCTGGACCAGAGAAGGAAAGAGAGCCTCAGACAGAAGAGCCCCCGTTATGCCGATTGTGTGACTTTAGTGTTCACTGTTTTGTGGAATGCCAACACAGACAGATTCTGGCAACATATCAACAGAGTGTGGGGGAGTATTCAAGCTGGCGCAGATCTTAAAAATAAACAAATGTCTGTGCACATTGTAGAATTGAGACTCGACATCTGTTTGAGGTTGCAGGGTGTGTTTGATTCTGTTTAGGGAGACAATTTATCCCAATGGCCATCATCACTATTTGACTGAGAATCGAATTGTGATACTTTATTGTCACTACAATTTTTCATCTGCTGAAACTAATTCAAGTGTGGCTGTCTACATTGCTTTTGTATCAGGGGAACGGTTCGCTATGCAAGTGTTCATGCCCACTTAGGACGCACGGGTAGTCGAAGGGATGACTTGGAGTCATTGGGATACACCCTTGTGTTCTTGCTTCGAGGGCGGCTCCCATGGCAGGGCTACCAGGTGAGAGACTACACAATGTCGACTCCTCTGTCTGTAGATCGGGCACCTAGCAGGTAGATTGGGTCTTCTTTCGAGTGGCTGCAGGGAAGTCGCTGTCCGTTAGTTGTCCGTGAGTTGTCGGGGAAGTTCCTTCCATGAAACAGATGTTCTTATCATCCTTGCGGTGCACTTCTGCGGTGCGCGTGCGCCATGCGCCCTTCGCAAATTAGTGATGTGGCGAGATGCGTTCAATTTTTTTTATTTTTTTTAATGGGGGTGCGTGTATACAGGGGGGTGCGTGTGTGTATACAGGGGGGAGGAGAGAGAGAGAGAGAGAGAGAGAGAGAGAGAGAGAGAGAGAGAGAGAGAGAGAGAGAGAGAGAGAGAGAGAGAGAGAGAGAGAGA